CTCCATAGTGGAGTCGTCTTTCTTCTGTACTTGAAGATTGGTATGATATTTTATTTGCCTTTTGGCTATGCTCTTGCTCTTGACTGGGAATTGTTTTCTGTTTTGGAGACTTGCCATGTGCCTTCTCTTCAGTTTGGCTATAACTACTGCTTTGGGATACATCTTTCTGGACACCATTTTCTCCATAGTGGAGTCGTCTTTCTTCTGTACTTGAAGGTTGGTATGATATTTTATGTGCCTTCCGGCCATGCTCTTCATCTTGATTGAGATTTTTTGTCTGGTGTTGATTCTTGTTATATACTAGGAGCTCATCTTGGGTAGTAAAAATGTCTTTGTATCCATGTTGGAGTCTGTGTTGATGTGCAGGACGGAGTGAAGTTTGTAGTTTACTTGAATGTTCCTCTCTCACATCAACCACATTTTGGTAATGCCCTTTATTTCGATGAGAATTTTGAGTCTCACGTTGTTGTTTGTTAGCTACTAGCTCTTCAGTTTGGAGAACATAATTGGTTTGGGATCCACCTTGTGTTCTACCTTTTTGTGCACCAGAGGCTGAAGCTTGTTCTTTACTTAGTCCACGAACCCGTAGCCTTTCTTCTGTGTTTGAATATTGACTGGATATTCCCTTTCCAGATGGGCTATTCCCCTGATCTTGAGAAGGATTTTGTGTCCCATGATGAACTTCGCCTCCTTTATGATGTATAACTATCAGATGAAAATGACCTTTTGGTTTAGCACTGTCTCTGCTTTCTTGTTTATAATTGAGCAGTTCTTGACTTCCACGTAGGTGTTGTTCTGATTTTGTCGTTTTATGTGGGGCATTCGAATAATATTGCTGACTTTTTCGGGTCCGGTCATGATCATTGGCATCTACATGATATGTGTGTTGAATAGAAAAACTGCCTTTGGATTCAGTATGTTGTTTGTCTTTTTGTCCAGAATAGTGCTGGCTCTTTTGTCTATGTGGAAATTGGGAAGATCCACTTGGTAGCTGGCCTTTTGATCCACCTGGTAATTGATAATAGAAGTGTATGCTTTCATTATCTCCAAAGCTCCCTTGCAACTCTTACCTCCCACCTTTTCCCAACAAATTATTGATGTTTCTAGAAAAGCTGAAACTTTGGGTGGAGAAAATCAATTCTTTTCAACAAGAAGAATCTGTGCCCAAACAGGTTACTGTTTGCACCCCAAATAATCTAAAAGGCTATTCTGTCTGAGCAGCTTTCCCCAAGGCTTACCCTCTCCACTCACCTTTTTGTCCCATCACAGCTGCTTGCCTCTCCAAGATGAGGAGCAGGGAAAGTACGAAGATGATGTTGGGCTTCATCTTGCTTGGAAAGCCTTGTCTGACAGCTGAGTGGACCTTGTCATTTATATCTTCCTTGAGTGAAGGTGCCATGGGTGGAGCTTAAATTACAAAAGGCACTGCCTTTTCTTAGCTTATCAGTAAATGCCAACTTCCTCACCCCTGCTGAGTGTGGGACAAAGTCAATGTCCCCAGCAACATAATGTCAAAGGCATTTTCCTTCTTCTGGAAGCCTCAGCAAATTTTTATCAGTCCTTGTTGATCATCATGCCAGATCACTTGCATTTTACGGAATTTTAGACGAAAGTAGGAAAGAGATTAGCTTCAGGCTACAAAAGTAATTGGTTTCTGAGAATGCCTTTATATTCTAAATGTGAGTTTGCCTTCATGATGTAATAAATTAAATATTCTATTTTAGATAGAACGCCATACTTCCTTTTGTTTTAAAAATGATCTTGAGACACGATCTATTTTACCTAAGAGTGAGCAATCATAGAAGTCCAATGACATAGAAGATAATGAAACCTTATGGAATCCAAAGAAAGAAATTTTAAACAAGTAAATGGGGCACACCAATGTCAAATATGTCTGTCAAGTTCAACACAGTAAAGACTGACATGTATCTAAAGTTTTTCTTAGTTGTTGCTAGTAACTTTAATGAGAGATGAATACAATTATGTTGGGTTGTCAGTTGAAGGATTGAGACCAGCTGCAACCTTCTCAGGAAGTCTGAATTCATGGTGGAATGAGAGCTGAGGCTCTATCTGGAGGGGGAGGTAAGCTCCAGATATGTTTTCAAAGGATGAGAGAATTTTAACATGTTTTCCTGGTGATAGGGACAACTGTTGGAAAAAAAGTAAAAATGCTGGTTTCTAAATTGGGTTCTTTTCATGAAATCTACCTAAATAGCAGAATTTTTTTTTTTTTAGTTAAAAGAAGTTTCTACTTCAGTAATAAACAGCTAAATCCCCACACAGGCTGTGAGAAATATTTGCCACCATCAATGAATTGAATAATGTATTGTGAGTGGACATGAAGCTAAAATTCCCACCTTTGGTAGAAGCAAAGATTTTTTCCAATTGTGATGACATCCTGAAAAGTTTAAAGAAACTTTCTTTACTTTGAGTCATAGACTTTGTTATAAGCAGATCACAGGGGAAGAAAGAAGAAAGCATCCCAACAGTGTCCCTGTGTACATTCAGAACACCTTGGAGGGTACTTCTGGGGAAAGGATAGCTTGAAAACTTATTTTCAATTATTCTAGTTTAAAATTTTAACCTTCCTGTAGGCAATGCTTTACGGAAGGGGTAAAGGGAAAGGCCAACCACAGAAAAAAGCACTATGCTATCAAACATAAATCTTGTGAGCTGCATGGTTTCTCTATGAACCACTCTGAGATCTTACCAAATTTATCTGTTTGCCTCAAGGGCAGTAAGTAGTTCCTTATTGCAGAAACTCCAACAGAGTAGGGTGTTATTGTCCTGAACTAAAATTGATTACTGTGTCTGCTAACCACTGTAATCTTCCTCACACTTCCCTTAAGAAAATACCAGAAACTGTTCTGTTCCAAGCTTACTGACACAAAATAGAGTCTGAAATATTAGCTTTACTTATGGATCAAGAACAAAACTTTCATCTCATCTAGTGTCCAAAAGATGCAGATAAAACAAAGGAGCACAATATTTGCAAAAACAAAGCAGGAAAATGCAATCCAAGCATAATATGTGATTATTATATTCATATTAGAATTGAATTCAATGAAATGTGGAAAAAACAATTTCCAAATGATAAAGGAATGTATTGATAAAGTTGAAATCAGAAATCAGTGATTTGGAAAGCATAAAAATGGTATGGTTATGCATACATCTTAGATATGGAATTATGATGGGGAAAAGATTAAGTGATCAAATGATTTGCCCTGTTGGACAAATTTTTAAAAAAGCAAAAATATTAAAGTGCACTAAACTGGCACAAAAATCAGGAAGTTTTGTACTCATAGGAAAAGAAGAAAACAGGAGGATTTAAATGTATTTTGTTCAATTCTATGGGAAATCACTTTACAACTTAGAAAATATTCCAATATAGTTATTTTGGGGAAATGGGCAGAAAAACCTGGTAGAGTAGGACTCCCCAGAGATTATACCCCCCAAAACATGAAATTTAATAATTATCCACATGTGATAATACTTTCTCAAAAGCTAAACAGGCCAGATGAGATATTACAGAACCTGATTATAGCATAATAATTAAAAATACACATTGAAGAGGATATGAAAGACAATTTTGTTTCCTGCATCACCGCTAACCCAATCACAGGCAGCACAGTGCAGAGAGAGCTACTTTCTTTCAGGGGAAGGGAATGAAGTAAGGCTTAGACTTTTTCATAGAACCCAATACTAGTCACATAATAGTAAAATTCAGCACTGGGAGGACACCCATGGTAACTCTGGGTGAGTACCTGTGGCCTAAGCAGCAAGACCGGCCCCAGCAGCAGAGAGGAACACATAGTTCCTGTGAGATAGACTTGTGTTCTTACCTGCACCACTGGCAGCCAACAACAGCAGCCTTGGATTATGAATAACCAACATAGATAGGCAGGTATCAGTGAGGAGGAGTTGGGAATGCAGTCCATCATTGTGCCAGCCTCTGCAGCCATGGGTTAGGGCCTGGTACAGAACTGGCCATGGTGGTCCTGGGTTTATGACATCTCCTTGTGCTGCAGTGACTGAAACAGTCACAGACTTACAAACCCAGAACTGATGATCTGCCTAGAATTTCTGGAAAGAGTTGAGGGACATTCTCAGACAAAGCCAACTTGGAGTAAGTAGCTACCTTAAATTCAATATCTGCATTCAAGTACCTACCTGCAATTCAATAAGTACCTTCTTCTTCAATGTGCAGACATCAATGCACAATCACAAGGATCAAGAACAATTGGGGAAAACTGATAACACCAAATTAACAAAATAAGGTACCAAATTAACAAAATAAGATACCATTGATTGGCCCAAAGACATGGAGATGTATGACCTGCCTGAAAAAGAATTTAAAATGGCTGTTCTAATGGAGCTCAAAGAACTTTGATACAATACAGATAAATAATTAAATGAAATGATGAAAACAATAAGCGACCAGAAAGAGAGATGTAACAAAGGGCAAAAATGATAACAAAATATCTAATGTTAATATGGGAGATGAAGAATGCAATGAATAAAATGAAAAGTGCAATAGAGTGCATTAACACCAGAAATGATCAAGCAAAAGGAATAATCTGTGAGCTTGAATACAGGTTACTTGACAATATACACTCATAAAAGGAAAAAAGAAGAAAGAATAGAATGAAGGAAACTTATGAGATGTATGGAATAGCGTTAAGTGAGCAAAGGGACAATTTACTGGTATTCAAGAGAAGTTACAGAAATATAAATGGAAAAGTAAAGAAAGCTTATTAAATAAGTAATAACAGAAAACTTTCCAAATCTGAAGAGTTCATATATATATATACACACACACATATATATACACCCATATATATACATATACGCATATTATATATATATATATATGTAGTCAAAGTTCAGGATGTCAACAGTCACCAATCACATTCAATTCAAAAAAGACTAGACATATAATAACCAAATTGTGAAAGATCAAAGACAAAGAAATGATCCTGAAGCAGCAAAAGAAAAGAAGCAAATAAAATACAAAACAGTTCCAATACACTTCACATCAGACCTTTTTTTTCTTTTTCAACTGTCATTTTACATTCGGGGGCAAGTGTGCAAGTTTGTTACCTGGGTATATTGCATGATGCTGAAGCTTAGGGTATGAATTTTCCTGTCATTCTGATACTGAGCATAATACCCAACATTTAGTTTTTCAACCTTTGTCCCCTTTCCCTCCCTTCTTCTCTCCTCTAGTAGTCTTCAGTGCCTATTATTTCCATCTTTATGTTCATGAGTATCTGACATTTAGCTCCCCTCTATAACTGAAAACATGTGGTATATAGTTTTCTCTTCCTGCATTAATCCACTTAGGATAATGGCCTCCCACTGCATCCATGTTGTTGCAAATATATGATTTTATTTATTTATTATGACTGTGTAGTATTCCATGGTGTATATACACCACATTTTCTTTATCCAGTCCACCATTGATGGGCACCTAAGTTGATTCCATGTTTTTGCTAGTATGAATAGTGCTGCAATCAAATCATATTTATCAAGGGGGAACATTAAAGATCAGAGGAGAGTGGAATAATATTATCAAAGGAATAAAAAAAAAGAAAACCATCCAAGCATACTATACTCAGCAAAGCTGTTCTTCAGAAATGACAGAGAAATGAAAACTTTCCCAGACGTGAAAAGGTGAGGAGGTATGTCACCATCAGACCTAATTTTATAAGAAATGCTAAAGGAGTTCTTCAAGGTGAAAGAAAAGGATGCTAATGAGTAATATAAAATAATCTAAACGTATAGAACTCACTAATAAAAGTAATTACACAGTCAAATTCAGAATACTGTGATACTGTAATGGTGATGTATAAATCACTTCTATCTTTAGTATGAAGGTTAAAAGATAAAACTGTTGAAATTAATAGTAGCTACAATAAATTGTTAATGCATATGGCGTATAAAAGCTGTTAATTGTGACATGCGAATATCAAAATGTGGGGAGGGAAGTGGTGGTAAAGTATAGTTTTATGTTTGTAATCAAACAAGTTATTATCATGTTAAAATCACTTGTGATAGCCACAGGATGTTTTTTAAAGGCCTCATGTTAGCCACAAAGACAATATTTTTAATAGATGCCCTAAAAATAAAAAATAAGTATCAAAATATACTACTAGAGAAACTAACTTAATCATAGTGGAAGGCAATAAGAGAGAGAGAGAAGGAAGGAAGGAAGGAAGGAAGGAAGGAAGGGAGGGAAAGAAAGAAAAGAAAGAAAGAAAGAAAGAAAGAAAGAAAGAAAGAAAGAAAGAAAGAAAGAAAGAGAAAGAAAGAAAGAAAGAAAGAAAAAAGAAAAGAAAGAAGGAAGGAAGGAAGGAAGGAAAGAAAGAAAGTGAATCACCAAAACAACTAGAAAACAAAAGTGGTAGTGGTAAGTCC